GCCCAGCCTCAAGGGTCTTTGGACGCCTGCTATCCTAGCACTCTGGGAGGCTGAGAAGGGCGGATTGCTCAAGGTCAGGAGTTTGAAACCATCCTGAGCAAGAGCGAGACCCCATCTCTACTATAAATAGAAAGAAATTAATTGGCCAACTAATATATATACAAAAAATTAGCTGGGCATGGTGGCGCATGCCTGTAGTCCCAGCTACTCGGGAGGCTGAGGCAGCAGGATTGCTTGAGCCCAGGAGTTTGAGGTTGCTGTGAGCTGGGCTGACGCCACGGCACTCACTCTAGCCTGGGCAACAAAGCGAGACTTTGGGGGTGGGGTTGCTGGGCAGGTTTCTCCTCCCTGAGAAAGGAGAGGCTCAGAAGAGGGAACCCATTTTGTGGCTGCACCTGTTGCCATGAGGAAAGACACCCTGACATGGAGGGTGCCAGAAGGGAGACAGGAAGCCCTGGGTGACAGCCCTGAAGTCTGAGCCAGGCCTCTCACCACCAATCTCCGAACCTGGGTCTGAGCAAGTTATTACCGTCCCGGTGGTTTAGTCATGGCTGGGGTCTTGAGGAAGCAGAGTGGTGAATAGTCCTGACTCTGGAGCCTGTGTTTAAGTCCCAGGTCTGCTGTTTATTACCTGGGTCCTTGGACAAGTTGCTCAACCTTTCTGTCCTTCAGCTTCCTGTCTGCAAAGGGGTGGGGTGGGGATAAAGATACTTCTTCCTTCATGGGCTTTTATGAGATTCAAATAGAAAAATATATGTAAAGGCTTAGAACAGTGCTGGCACCTGCTTGGATCTGGGGCCGTCTGTCTTACCGCCTTGGCCCAACTTGCTCTACAGCTACGAGTCCCGTGTACTGTTCCCACGCGCACGCACACCACACACACACGCACGCACACACACGCACACACTAGCGCGCGCTCGCGCACACACACCCATACACACGCGCGCGCGCACACACGCACGCACACACACGCACACACTAGCGCGCGCTCGCACACACACACACACCCATACACACACGCACGCACACACACGCTCACACTCGCGCGCGCGCTCGCACACACACACACATACACACATGCACACGCGCGCGCACACACACACGCGCGCGCGCACACACGCACGCTGGGATCCCGCTCTTTCACATCTTTGCAATGCTGTTTATCCTACCAGGTGTGCCTTCCCCGTCCCCTCTTCCCGGATACTTGTCTTCAGTCCCCAAACCACAGGCACCGAATACACCCGGGGCGGGACATTCCCTGCGGGCGGCCCGTCCTTCCCTGTCGTCCCCAGGGCCCCTCCGCCGTGCGCCCGCCCGCGAGCCCCAGGTTGGCGGGCTGAGGCTGGGGTCTCCGGGCGGAGGTGGGAACCCCAAGCGGCGGCCAAGGCCAAGGCTCCCCGCGCCCCCGACCCCCGGCCGCCCCCTCTGCGCGTTTCTCTCCGAAGGGCGCGCGGCTCGGTCCGCCTGGGGCCGGGTGTGTGCGGTCGAGGGGTCTGACGGGGCCGCCGCCTCCGCCCGCGAAGCCCAGCCCGGCAGGGGCCGCCTCCCGCCGCCGGGCCCCGCGAGCGCGGCGCCTCCGCTGGCCGTCCCGGCTAATGGCGCTAAGTGATTCCGGGCGCCGCGCTCCGGGGTGACGCCGACCCGCGGGGCCGGGGGCGCCTGAGCCGCGCTCATGCGGCGCTTAGCAGTCAGGGCACAGCGCGCCTCGTCGGGGGCCCGCAGGCGACCGGCCGTGCGCCCAGCGCTGCGCCGCCCAATTTGTGCTCCACCCCCGCCACCTCCTCCCGTCCCGGTCCCTGAGGCCCACGAAATTTCCTGTCTTTCGGTGATGATTCGGCCACCCACGGGTGTTCCTGGCCCCTTTGTCTGTCTGCTCGGGCGGCGGTGTGGACAAGCCTAACTGTTCCCTAGCCAAGCAAAGGGAACATCTGCCGGCCCCAGCACAGGGGACATTGTCCCCAGCCAGGCAGCAGGACCTGTCACCTGGGACCTGGAGCTGGACGGGGAGACGGGTGAATCCACCCATTTTGCTGCTGTACAGGCTTTTTTGTGAGACAGAGTCTCGTTTTGTCGCCCCGGCTAGAGTGCAGTGGCATCATCATACTCCTGGCCTCAAACTCCTGGCCTCAAGCGATCCTCCTGTCTCAGCCTCCAGAGTAGCTGGTACTACAGGTGGACTACAGGCCTCTGTATTCTGTTTAGTGCTTCCATCCAGCTGAGATGTGTTTTGGAGTTAGGTGTGGGTCTGAAAATGAGTGAAGGCCCCCCTCTCCTCCACTGCTTTTCACTTAGTCCTGCTGTGGCTCCATTTCAGTTCCATACCTGTTGGCCTCAAGCCCAGCACTTTTATCATAGGTTTGTTATATCTGCTCAACCTATTCTCTTTCACTCAATCCAATAAGCAGTCCTTGGGCTTCTACAACAACCATTTTTTTTCTTGAGACAGGGTCTTGCTATATTGCCCAGGCTGGTCTCAAACTCCAGCAGTCTCCTCTCCTCAGCCTACGCAGTAGCTAGGTGCAGGTGTGCACCACCACACCTCGCTAATCACAACAACTGGCTCACTTTTGTTCACCCCATCATAGTTTACAAAGCCTTTGTGTTGTCTACAGGATCACGGGTCCTCAAAAAAACCATTATAAAACAAGGTAGAGGAGAGAAAGCTGAACTTGCAGCCGGCAGGAGAATCCGTTTGAAAATGAGGCCAACCTCTCTCTAATGGCAGCAGAGATGCTATGTGGTACGTTTACCAGGGGAATAAGAACACGGGAGGGATGGGCAGAGGCAGATGCTCTGCTAAGATTACTTAACTGTTACCTCTTCTCAGAAAAGGTAGTCTAAGGGCAAGAAGGACTTGCAAGAACATTCTGAGATTTGGGGTTGAACCTGGAGGCTTGCAACATTTTGTTATGTAAGGATGGTTAAGGTGCTTAACCCTTTATGGCACCCTCGGCTGATTGCCTTAAGACCTCAGTGAGGTAGGAAGTAGGGTTAGTAATCAAGTGAGTAACCTTAGGAACAGGTGTGACTTGCCCAAGGTCACACAGCAACTCCCTGAAGAGCTGAGGCTGGTACCCAGGGGTTCCCTCCCTCCCTCCCTTCCTTCTTTCCACAGTTTATTGAAATCCCACTGTGTGGCAGAAACCCCACCAGAGTGGGGCGACACTCCTGAATAAGAAAGATGGGGTCCTTTCTGCCCTGGGGTTTCATTCTAGAGCATGCACAGCCATAAACACAAAAGACAAAAAATGAACTGCAAATTGTAGTAGCTGCTAAGAAACCCGTGATTCAGACCTAGTTAGGAGATTACCGAGGTAGGAGTGAGGGATGCTCCAGGTAGAGCAGTCAAAGAAAGCTCCTCGTAAGAGACGCCATTTAAGCCAGTGGAGTGAACTCTGGGGGCCGGGGAAGGTAGCGAAGGCTTCTGGGACAGGAAACAGCAGGTTTTCCGATCAAAAAGCAGGAGTAGAAAGAAGCAGGTAAGAATTCACATAGATTTTAGAGGAAGGACAAATGACGGGTGAGGGAAACAGAAGGACCAGGTGAGTCTCAGGTTCTGGGAGGAGCAGCGGGTGCCATTGCAGAGTTGAGGAAGCCTGGGGAGAGCAGGGTCACAGCTGGGAATCGCAGTTGAGTTTTGACCACGTCAGGTTGCAGGACCTATTTCGTATCCAAGGTGAGGTGCCATTGAGCAGGTCTAACTACAAGTGTGGTGCTTGGGAGAGGCCCAGGATGGAGATATAAAGTTGAGAATTATCAGTTTTTAGAAAATATATAAAAGCATGGGGTTAGAATAGATCACCTAGGAAGAGGACACAGGATTGAGTCCTGAGGTGCTCCAACAGTTAGAAGGATGTCAAGGAGGAGGATGTCAATGTCAAGGAGGAGGAGCCAGAAAAGGAGACTGAGAAAGAACAGCCAGTGTGATGGAGGAAAACCCAGGAGGGTGTTGTGTCAATAGAGCCGAACAAAGAGTGTTTTAAAAAAAGGACAAGTGTTCAAACATGTCAAATGCTGCTAGTGGATTAAGTAAAATGAGGACATAGACATGACCACCCAATTTGGCAAGACAGAGGTAGTTTATAACCTTGATAATTGGAGTTTCAGGGGACAGGTCTGGGCAGTGAAGAGTAATGTTGACTTTTGGATAAAAATGGCAGATGGGGCAGAAATGAGAAACCAAGATGACCACTGACTCCAGGGAATACAAAAAGTTGTTCAGAGATGGTCATAATATACTACATGATTTAGCACAGAAGGACGCAATTGCAATCTAACTCGTAATACTGATCTTAACCATCATGACACCATCATCCCAAGGAAACTGTGGATGAGGGGTACATGTGGGGGAGGGGAGGGGCTGGTGAAAGCCCTAACTCCTCCCTTTTAAAGTGATGTAAGACTCAAGATCTGAGCCGAGGCGTATGAGATGTAAGGATGGAGAAGGTGGGAAACAAACCTTGGGAAAGGGAACCCATAGAGGGGTGTGGGGTGTCTGGGGGTTGATGAGACCTTTGGGGTGATATATCTGAAACGCAGCCGGTCAGCACAGTAAAGACACTGCCCCACAACTATGGGGTCGAACCAGGCCAGCGCCTTTGGGCCAAGTTTGTTTCCAAGCCACGAATAGGATGACAATGTTCCTCCTGGGCTAATCCAAGTAGCTGGTCTCTCTGAAAAATCTCTCCAGCTCTTCATAAGAATAGCGGCATTGGGCTGGTCATGGTGGCTCACACCTGTAATCCTAGCACTCTGGGAGGCCGAGGTGGCAGGATCACTCAAGGTCAGGAGTTCTAGACCAGCCTGAACAGGAGCGAGACTCCGTCTCTACTAAAAATAGAAAATTATCTGGACAACTAAAAATATATAGAACAAATTAGCTGGGCATGGTGGCACATGCCTTGTAGTCCAAGCTACTCGGGAGGCTGAGGCAGAAGGATGACTTGAGCCCAGGAGTTGGAGGTTGCTGTGAGCTAGACTGATGCCACGGCACTCTAGCCCAAAAACAGAGGGAGACTCTGTCTCCAAAAAAATAAAAAATAAAAAAAGGCCTGCCCCAGGGCTGCTGGGTCCCCCACTGTACGTGGTAGGGAGGGGGCCACCGTGTCCCCTGGAGCTCCCTTGCAGCACCCAGGTGTACCCTGGAGAGGAGACCAAAAGCCTGCGGGGCTGTGCACAGGCTGAGGGCCTGGGGGGCCAGCCTGAGTCCAAGACCAGAGGGGCAGTCCAGTGGCCCAGAGAAGACAGGATGTGGCCTCTTTAGACCTGCCAGCCTGGGGTCAGGCACCAAAAGCTGTTTTCTCAGGCTGGGTCCATTTAGCCCAAGCTTTCCCCAGGCCCAGAGCCCCGGGCCCCACTCCCACTCCAGGCCTGAGCTGTGGTCCCCACAGACTGGGGTCCTGGAGGAGGTAGAAATTGGGGCAGGCAGTTGTCAGGCCCCACAGGGCGCCCCCATCTGTGACCCGTACTGGGCCTGGAGCTCTCATTCCTCCTCAGTAGCTCCCCAACCCATGGTCCTGCCTGGGAGGGAGGTGATGGGGGACAGTGAAGCTGTTCCCAAGGCCCCCAGTCTCAGGGCCTGAGTCCATGTGCCCTCCTGTACCCTGCTCCATGGGTGTGGGGGAGGCACGTGCTGAGCGTCCCCCAGAAGCCTGCACACCCACCCCGTGAGAACGGTCCCCTCTGATTCTGGGTCTGGCCGTTACTCCACATCTGCACCTGCCTTGCCCACAAGGCAGCAATTACCTTTCTTAATGCAGCCAGTACAAAGTCCTCTGTCCCCCCCACCCTGGGTGTGTGCTGTTCTTGGTCACTTGTCTTGTCACAGGGCTACCACTCCTGGTCGGGTCCCCACACACATGGCTGTATGCTGACCCACCATCCCTGGGCCTGGGCCTGACCTTGCTCCCAACACTCCAGTCCCTCAGGTTCCTGTCGCCCACCCACCTCCATCCCAGGCCCTTCCAGGCAGCCAGAAAGCTCAGAGACGTTCTCCAGGCCACCCCCTGTCTGCCCCTCTCCCCGATTCCAGAGCGAGGCTGTCACAGTTGTGGCAGCTCCTGTCACATCCCAGCCAATGACATCCTGGAGGTCTGCACCCCTCCTCCACTGTCCCCTGCATAGACAGGCCCACGTGTGTCCCCAGACGCCTGAATCACTGCTGACGGCTTGGGACCTGGGGGCCATGGGCTCCTCAGGAGCGGCTGGGGAGGGGCGTGACGGCCACGTCTCGCCTCCAAGGGAACACCTGCGGACATAAATAGGCAGCCAGCGAAGGCAGCAGCACGGAGCCACTGAGCAGCGCTGTACGCAGTGCCCACCTGCGTGCACCAGGATGCCCGACACCACGCTGGTCGCCTGCTTCCTCGGCCTGCTGGCCTTCTCCTCCGCTTGCTACTTCCAGAATTGCCCGAGGGGCGGCAAGAGGGCCATGCCCGACATGGAGCTGAGACAGGTACTACCCACCATGGCCCGTCTCAGGGCAGCCAGCATGGGCACTGCCCTAGGAGGGAAGGCTCCGGAGAAGGGAGAAGGCAGCCTTTAGGGGAAGTGCTGGGGAGGAAGGAGGCATGGCGTGGCTGGACAGAGGGGCCAACAGGGTGGGTCAGAGGGGACCAGGTTGCTGGGCAGGATAGGAGGGGCTGAAGGGGCTACTGGACACTGTCCCCATCCAGACAGGGGATGCAGAAAGTGAGAAAGAGTTCTCCTGTAACTGGGCTTGGGTCTAGATCAGGGAGAAGTGGGTGCTGAGGCCTCCCCTGGGTCCTGTCATCTAGACAGGCTGGCATGTCAGAGGCTCCATCTCACCAGCATTTGAGGCCTTCCTCATCCAGCCCCAGCCTCTCCCAGCTACTGGCACTGGTGCCTCCCACAGAAGGCCATTGCTCTGAGCTCACCTGAGTTGCGGGTGCTGCCCAGGCATTCTGTAAGGAAGTTCTGCTGGGTATCTATCCCTATTCTCTCTCTCTCTCTCTTTTTTTGTTTTTTGTTTTTGAAACAGAGTCTCATTCTGTCACCCTAGGTAGATGGCATCAATGTGAGCAATGGCATCATTGTCTCACTGCAACCTCAACTCCTGGCCTCATGTGATCCTCCTGCCTCAGCCTCTCTAGTAGCTGAGACTACAGGGTCAAGACATGATGCCCAGCTAATTTTTTCTATATTTGGTAGGGACAGGGTCTCGCTCTTGCTTAGGCTGGTCTCAAACTTGACCTCAAGTCATCCTTTTGCCTCAGCGTCCCAGAGTGCTAGGATGACAGGTGTGAGCCACGGCCTGGCCCACCCCTATTCTCTTGTGCGGGATGTATATTGAGCAGAGCTGAAGGAAATCCAATCAGCATGTGCAATTCTGCCCAGGCTCAATTTTGAGCTGTTGAACCAACGAGAGTGGGCAGGTGGGCAACCGTACAGCCTACCTTCCCTCTGCTTGGCTCCCAGGAAGCCTGAGCCACCCAGGTGTCCATGCCCCCCTATTGGGCTCAGGCCCCTACACCCACCTGTAAGGTCATAGGCAGGTGAGCAGGGGATCTGGCCCAAATTGAGGCCCACTCACTGGGGCTGGTGGGTGCCAAGGGCAAAGCAAGAGAGGAATCAAGAAATGGGAGGAAAGGTCTGGCTGTACTGGGGGTGCCAGGGACCGTCTGCTGGGGGGAGCAGGGTGGGGTGGATGAACTAGGGACCAAGCAGGAGCGACAGGGGCAGGAGGAAGGTCTGGACTAGGGGAGGGTGGAGAGGCAGCCCAAAAGTGGACACCAGTGATGGTCCCAGAGCTGAGGAGGAGGGTCCCCAAGCTGAGTCCATGGGAGACCCGTCCGGCGGCCCAGGAGGGGATGCAGACGGCTATTACTGACAGTTGGTCCTCAGTCCCTTGAAAACATAAAGACTTGAGTAGATTGTGACCCCAGCCTTGACTGTAGTCGAGGCGCAGACAGCGCCCCCTGCAGCGCCTGGGTCCCGCCGCACTCGCGAGCCCGAGCCCGGCCCCAGCAGCCCGGCCCCAGCACCCGCCGGCCTCGCGGGGTCCCCGCAGCCCCTCCCCGGCTGCCCCCCCTCCCGCTCACCCGCCCTTCCCCGCAGTGCCTCCCCTGCGGCCCCGGGGGCAAAGGGCGCTGCTTCGGGCCCAGCATCTGCTGCGCGGACGAGCTGGGCTGCTTCGTGGGCACGGCCGAGGCGCTGCGCTGCCAGGAGGAGAACTACCTGCCGTCGCCCTGCCAGTCCGGCCTGAAGCCCTGCGGGAGCGGGGGCCGCTGCGCCGCCGCCGGCTTCTGCTGCGACTACGGTGAGCGGCGGGCTGGGGTGCTGGGACTGGCGGGGGTGTGGGGGGGCTGGAGCGGGGCGGGGCCCGGGCGGGCAGGAGGCGCGGGCAGTGGAGACCCCGGCGCCGCGCTCACTCGTCCTCCCGGCAGAGAGCTGCGTGGCCGAGCCCGAGTGCCGCGAGGGCCCCCACCGCCGCGCCCGCGCCAGCGACGGGAGCAACGCCACGCAGCTGGACGCGCCCGCCGGGGCCTTGCTGCTGCGACTGGTGCAACTGGCGCGGGCGCCCGAGCTCGCCGAGCCCGCGCAGCCCGGCGGCTACTGAGCCCGCCCCCGCGCCCGGCCCCTGCGGGACAGAGAATAAACCTCTGTAAATGCACTGCCTGGTGTCCGTCTGCATCTCTGGAGGAGGGAGGGGAAAGAAGTTGGGGCGCGGAACCCCATCCCCTATCCCGCCCTGGCCAGTCTCTGCACCCGAAGTCGTGGGCAGGCCCCAGAGAAGGGACAAATGCTCTAGGGGATTCTAGGGGTCCTGGACCACCACAGCTGTCGCTAGACCCAGGGAAAGGGTGACGTGGGGCGGAGGGTGGCGCGGGCGAGGGAAGAGACCAGAGGCCTAACTTGGCCTTGGAGGGAGCTGGTTGGTGTTCTCTGGCAGAGGAGTAGAAGTAAAGGCAGAGGGAGGAAAGACAGTCTTGTTGATGGACGGACAGCAAGAGATCCAGACAGAGCAGAATGATGGAGAGAGACACAGAGACATCGAGAGTGACAGATAGAAGAGTGAGAGGCAAAGGCAGAGGAGACAAGGCAAGGGGTGACCATTCTGTTCCCATTTTTACCCCAGGAGACTGAGATACAAACAGTTCAGGGACCCACCCAGGTCCTGGGATTTCCGCTCCGGGATCTATTTCCTCCAAGACTGCGCTTGTGTGTGTTGTGGTGGTGGCGACGACATCACCCCAGACCCCGTGGAGACAGTGCCACCTGCTATCTGACCAGGTGCACCCGCCTTTAGGGCCCCCCAGCCAGAGTAGGAGACAGACCCCACTGGGAAACCAGCTATGTGCCCCCGACACATACAGCCACACACACTCAGACAGAAACACGGACAAGAAAACAATTGCTAGCAACATGTCCATGACCTTGACCACAACCATAGATAGAGACCCTGAGACCCACATTCAGAACCACAGACACACTCAGAAAACAGACACAACAGGCACAACGACAGGCACTTGCACACACAGGCACACATGCATGTGTGCACCCGCCAGCACTTGGCCTCTGCCCCTACATCCCTCTCTGTCCTGTTTGCCCCTTTCTCTCCTTTACCCCTCACTCCTGTGCTCTCCCTGCCCCTCCAGCTCCTTGGCTTCCACCACAACTGGTCTCCTTGGCCCCTTCACACCCCCTTACCTCTTCTGTCTCCTCACCCCTCCATTACCTCCCATCCCGCTCTCTCCTCCTCCCTCTGTTGTCTGCATCCTGTCCTTGGCCTTTCTTGCTCCAGGTCTTGGGGCCACAAGAGGCTGCATCTCCTTTGGGATCCCATGCAGACTTTGAGGCCAGGAGGGCGTGCAGGCAGAGGAACGTCCCTCTCACGCTCACCCCAGCACCCAGGCTGGAGGCCTCATGACTCAAGCAGCTCAGCCTCAGCCAACCCTGGGCAGAGTCCCGGCACGTGCCAAGGTCAGGCTCTCTTCCAGCTTCCTCAGAGCTCCCCTTGGCTCCCACCTGATCTGGTTCCCGCAGCTTCTGCCAGTGGCAGTTCCCAGCACCACTCAGTCTAGCCAGGTGGGGGCAGGGCCATGAGGGCTTCTATCCCTGCCATGACCTCTGCCTCTGGCCTGTGTAGCCCACGCAGGGCCAGCCCCCATGGGAGCAGGGCTGCAGCAGGACCAGACCTAATGGGAATTTATTAGCCCTTCCACACAGAGAGAGGTGGCAAGAGGCAGGTGTCTTGGCTGCATGGGATCTGGTGCTGGTGTCTGGACTTGGGGACACTTTCTGAATGAGGTCCGCACCTCTCCTCTTCCTAGGTACAGACTCAGAGGCTCCTTCCCCTCGCCCTGTCTTCAGAATACAGTCAGGCTGCCCCCTCTGGGAAGGGTGCGTAATCTCTGCCCACCCCCAGTTTGCACAAATGTCTGCCTCCCTGGACATTCTTCTATTCTTTCTCCCTCTCCTTGACCCCTTGACCCAGCTACACAGGCATTTAGAGGGGAAAGCCCACAAGTCACAGAAGGCTCTGTGCTTTCTGCCGTGTCTCCAGGGCAAAGGGGCTGTGGCCACCAGGCAGCCAGAGCCAGGGCACAGCGTCCAGTGATCCGGTCCGTTGCTTCACAAAAACAGAAACGTCAGCAGCATCTCATTTTTTAAAAAAATGCTTGATGAGTCTTGCCAAAGGCTTATTACTTGAATATTTTAAAAATAGCTTTCTGTTTTATCAGTCTATGTTATTGAGTTTTTGTCTTTTAATTGATTTCTGTTCTTTCTTATTTCTTTTTTTCCTTTCCTGTATTTTTGAGTTTTCTCTATTGACCTTTTTTTTTTTACCAGCTTCTTGAGTTAAATAGTCTAAATAATAAAATAAAAAAACAAAACTTTGTTTTATGTTACTTATCTAAAGCTACAAATTTCCCTCCATCTCTTGATTTTATTCTTTGACACTCAATGTTACCCTGCTCTGGTCTAAGTATGTGGTAATTCCATAATGTTTATTTTGCAAACCGAAAAATTATTTTGCGATATGTGTTTATAGTGCAGACATGTGAGAATTTTCTTCTGCCATCCTTTTGTTATCATTAATTTTATGCATTGAGGTTAGAGAACATAATCTGTATAATGTTGGTTTTTTTGCAAACCACCTTCTTTTGTGGCAAGTACGTGTTTGCCTCTTGTGAATGTTTCATATTTGCTCTCCCCAAAATACACACGTTCTCTACTTGTTGAGGGTAAAGTCTTCTATACATCTATTCCTTCATAGGTATTATGGTGTTATTAAAATTTTCTTTATCATTGTTCATTTTGTCTGATCTGTTTGACAGGGTATATCGAAGCTCTCCAATTAAGTTGTTGGGTTATCCTTTTTTTCTCATTGTTCTATCATTTGTTGCTTTATATATTTTGAAGCAGATTATTAGATATGTATAGGTTCATGACCATTATATGTTTTTTTGGTTTTGTTTTTGAGACAGAGTCTCACTTGTTGCCCAGGCTAGAGTGAGTGCCATGGCGTCAGCCTAGCTCACAGCAACCTCAAACTCCTGGGCTCAAGTGATCCTCCTGCCTCAGCCTCCTGAGTAGCTGGGACTACAGGCATATGCCACCATGCCTGGCTAGTTTTTTCTATTTTTGGTAGAGATGGTGTCTCGCTCTTGCTCAGGCTGGTCTCAAACTCCTGAGCTCAAACGATCCACCCGCCTCAGCCTCCCAGAGTGCTAGGACTACAGGTGTGAGCCACCACATCCGGCCCATTATGTTTTTGAGACATCATTCTTTGTTACTTGTATGTAATATCATGTTGTCCCTAAATGAAATTTAATTTAATCAAATTCCCTTGATTATATTTTGTCCATTATCAGGATTTGCTCCCATCTTTCTTTTACTTCATATTTTCCTGATATAGCTTGCTCCATTCTTTTTTTTTTTTTTTTTTTTGAGACAGAGTCTCGCTTTGTTGTCCAGGCTAGAGTGAGTGCCATGGCATCAGCCTAGCTCACAGCAACCTCAAACTCCTGGGCTCAAGTGATCCTCCTGCCTCAGCCTCCCGAGTAGCTGGGACTACAGGCATGCGCCACCATGCCCGGCTAATTTTTTATATACATATCAGTTGGCCAATTAATTTCTTTCTATTTATAGTAGAGACGGGGTCTCGCTCTTGCTCAGGCTGGTTTTGAACTCCTGACCTTGAGCAATCCGCCCGCCTCGGCCTCCCAGAGAGCTAGGATTACAGGCGTGAGCCACCACGCCCGGCCTTTGCTCCATTCTTTATCTGGGTCTTTTTCTATTTGCTTTACCATTTTAAGGTATAATTTGCATATATTAAAATTCACTTCTCGTGGTGCACAGTTCTGTGTTCTGTGAGTTTTCACAAACATATTCAGTTCAGAGTTGGCGACTCCGCCCTCCTCGCCATTCCTGTAGTGGCTGCTGCCTGGATGGCTGCGTCAGGTGGAACGTCTTAGCCTAATATCCGGAGCTCCAGAAAGGCCACAATTTCAAGCCAGATAGAATTACATATCCACCACTTCTTTGGAGCCTTCAGCCCTCAAGATCCCAACATCATGACTTCAGTTTCAACACGGCTGCTCTTAGTCCTCATTTCGCAGCTTTGGTGCTACCTGGTGTCGATGCAGAGGAAGCTGGAGGTGCAGTTGCTCTCTCGTCAGGTGTGGGTCTCAGCATCACAGGCATTCGAGCTTGCTTAGGGGCATGTGCACGGAAGAGAAATGGACAGATGTGACTTTGAAGGACCTCCTAAATCAAACCTTGCCCTGGAAACCTTTATGCTGTTGAGGCTCAACCTGAGCTTTGGTATCTGAAAGTTTCCAAGAAACAGTAAATAGGGGAGTTTCCTATTCTTGGCTGTTTCCCTTAAAATGGGAACAAATTGACATATAAATGGGAAAATATGTTTTCTTTACAAGTGATGCACTAAAAAATGCAGCCTGTAATTTGTATTTGCTGGTTAGAAAGGGGGTCAAAGAAGTAAGATGGCTGAAATTTACATAAGTAATACTTCATAGTTTTAGAATTTTGAAAGCACGTGAAATAAGGAAGAAGGAAACTTTTAGCCAGAATCCTAGCAAATCACCACTGTTAAGTCATAATCACTGCCTCCTGAACTGTTGAGTCTTTTGTCCATATTTTTATTAGATTTTTGTTTTATCTCCCAAGTTAATATTGTATTTAGATATCACATAGCCAAAAATGTAAATGTTTATTTCTGGGTAAAAAATATATTCAGTGTATCTAATATTGACATGGGAAAAGGATTTAATGTAAAGAGAAAAACCTTTATATTAACACTGAAATAGAGAAGAGACCCAATGTAAACAATTTTTATATTAATTGAGTAATAACATCCTCATGGTGATTAGTACTATATTAAATATAAACCCATTATGTTGTAGTTAAAAAAAAAAAAACAGGCTGGGCGCGGTGGCTCAAGCCTGTAATCCTAGCACTCTGGGAGGCCAAGGCGGGCGGATTGCTTGAGGTCAGGAGTTCCAAACCAGCCTGAGCAAGAGCAAGACCCGTCTCTACTAAAAATAGAAAGAAATTAATTGGCCAACTAATATAATTTATGTAATTACAGGCATGGTGGGGCATGCCTGTAGTCCCAGCTACTCGGGAGGCTGAGGCAGCAGGATTGCTTGAGCCCAGGAGTTTGAGGTTCTTGTGAGCTAGGCTGACGCCACGACACTCACTCTAGCCTGGGCAACAAGCGAGACTCTGTCTCAAAAAAAAAAAAAACAAAAAAAAACCAACTCAGTTCAGTAACCAACACCAACCACAGTCAAGACGTAGACAGCGTCATCTCTTCTCTCCCAAATTACCCTTTGCCCTTTTATAATCCACCCTTCTGACCCTTCCACTAGCCCATGCTAACCACTGATCTGCTATTTCTATTGTTTTCCTTTTGCAATTGTGTCTTATAAATGAAGTCACGTAGTATGTAGCCTTTTTTTTTTTAGACAGAGTCTCACTTTGTTGCCCAGGCTAGAGTGAGCGCTGTGGCATCAGCCTAGCTCACAGCAACCTCAATCTCCTGGGCTCAAGCAATCCTACTGCCTCAGCCTCCTAAGTAGCTGGGACTACAGGCATGTGCTACCATGCCCAGCTAATTTTTTTTCTATATATATTAGTTGACCAATTAATTTCTTTCTATTTATAGTAGAGACGGGGTCTTGCTCTTGCTCAGGCTGGTTTGGAATTCCTGACCTCGAGCAATCCACCCTCCTTGGCCTCCCAGAGTGCTAGGATTACAGGCGTGAGCCACCGCGCCCAGCCAGTATGTAGCCTTTTAAGTGTGTCTTTTTTTGGGGGAGTGGGGGGTAGACAGGGCCTTGCTCTACTGCCCAGGCTGGAGTGAGTGGCCCTATCATAGCTCACTGCAGCCTTGAACTCCTGTGCACAAGCGATCCTCCTGCCTCAGCCTCCTGAGTACCTGGAAGTACAGGAATATAGCACCACTCCTTGCTAAGTTTTTTTATTTTAATTTGTGTGTGTGCGTGGAGAGGTCTTGCTAGGTTTCCCATGCTGGTCTTGAACTCTTGGTTTCAAGTGATCCTCCCACCTCGGCCTCCCAAAGTGCTGGGATTATAGGCATGAGCCACTAGGCCTGGCTGCATTTTCTCCCTCCCTTCCTTCCTTCCTTCCTTCCTTCTTTCCTTCCTTCCTTCCTTCCTTCCTTCCTTCCTTCCTTCCTTCCTTCCTTCCTTCCTTCCTCCCTCCCTCCCTCCCTCCTTCCCTCCCTTCCTTCCTTCCCTTTCTTTCTTTCGAGACAACGTCTTGCTGTGTTGCCCAGGCTAGAATGCAGTGGCACAATCATAGCTCACTGTAGCCTTGAACTCCTGGACTCCAGCCAGCCTCTCAAGTAGCTGGGACTATAGGCACGAGCTACCATGCTTGGCTAATTTTTCAAAAAATGTTTTGGAGAGATATGATCTTGCTACATTGCCCCGGCTTATCTCAAACTCCTGGCTTCAGA